TTAGCATGTCTTTCCCAGACTGTTGGTTGGTATTATACCATGCAGGGGTCAGCATTCCACAACATCACTGATATCTTTTCCCTCTCAGCAGCCTGCCTACCAAGCACCTTTCAGCACTGTGAAAGCTAACCAACAGGGAGAGTGTCCTGGTCAGTTCAATTCTTACTTCTCTGAGTCCTGCAACCAAAGTGAGTGGTGTCTCCAGCAGTAGGATCTTACCATCTAGTTGAGGTGGGCAGCCAAGAGCAATGGTAATAACCTGCATTGTTCTGGGGCCTCTCTGACCAATAACTCATAGGGAGGTAACTCATGAAGTTTAAGGACTACTATTCTAAAGACACAGACAAATTAAGACCTATACCAAGGACCATATCTAATGAAACCAAGATAAAGATGTTACATAGCAGGTACTCTAATGGGGGAAAAGGAGACTTGAGGATGAGGGTGAAATATGAGCTGAGCTTAGGTACAGATGTCAAGCAACCCAAGTGAAGACAAGAGTGAGGCAGGTGTGGACATAAGTGAAGAGGGATGTCATGTGTGAACACAAATGTGTTCCAAATGAGTGAAAGAAAACCTCACTTGTCTTTGAGGGCTTGTAATAAAGTTCAGTGGTAGAGCACTTGCCTAACATGAGTAAGGTCATAAGGTCAATGAAAAGAAAAAAAAAAGGCATCGGGTTACCTTTACCCTGAGGGTTGGAATGCCAATGAAATGCTTTAATCTGATCTGATTCTTTTATCACAGAAAGATCTTGATGACAGGCCACTATGGGAAAAGTTCCCATTGGAAGAAGAGCAGCTCTATAAGAAGTTAGGGCATTGTCAGACAGGAAGTGAGAGGGGCAGTGCTCATTGGGGGTGGGGTGTGGGGAGGAGCTAAATTCCAAAGATCTTTGGGTGGCTGAGGGACTGGGCCAAGCTGACAGGAGGTAAGACTGAGTCAGAGAAAGGAGGCTAATGCAGATTAGCCTATGTCACATGTGGCATGTGAACAGTAACTGCTGGGACAATGAGAGGAAAACTTAACCAGACATGTTCATCTGAATAGAAAATCAGGAATAAGAGTCTCAGCAGGGAAAGGGGGACATGAGGACCCAGAGAGGACAAGAGGCTAACAGGGAACATGGTGAGTTGTGGGAGCAGGGAGGGGGTCAAACCAGACAGGGTCTCTCTGTGCATACTGCCTGCTAAGGGAACTTGCTAACCAAATCAAAAGGGTGGAGACAGCAGGAAGGGAAGAGAGCCTTGTGGTTTTGTTGAAAGTCATCCCTGTGGCCTCTGTGACCTTCAGAATCCCCTCTCCCCACTTAAAAAAAAAAATCAAAACAATTCATCAAGAATAAAGAAAAATTGTTTTGATTCTTGAATCTTTTATTTTAAACATTTTATCTTTTTTATTTCCTTATACCTTTCAACCAAATGTTATAGTCATAAAGTAGTACATGTATTGTTGTAAAAAGATAGACTCTAGATAAAACAAAGTTCATTGCAGGGATCATATATCAGATATTAACCCTCCCATGTAGCCCCCTCCCATTCTCTTTCAAATTCATAGCCTCTTTTTTTTTCATTGTTGTTACTTGTATATATTTTTAAATAACATGAATACAACCTGCTCAGTCTGCATAATGCTATTTATATGTATACATTTCAGGGCTGACCATTTGGTATTGAATAATCAATTTGTGTTTTCCCTGGGAAAGACTATTTCTCCTGCTCTCAGCATTCCATAGTGGCCTGTCGTTTTGTGTAGGGTGTGGTCTCACAAGCTTTCTTCTGTCCATTTTGGTTTTTTTTCTTTAAAGATTTGATATACACACACACACACACACACTCACACACCCACACTTATTTCACCTACACGTGGTGCAATACCTGTGGAAGCCAGAAGAGGGGGCATCAAGACCCTCTGGAATTGGAGTTAAGGCAAGCAAATTGTGAGCCACTATGTGCCAATGTGAGAACTGAACCCAGGCCCTCAGAAATAACAACCAGTGCTCTTAACCACTGAGCCCTCTCTCTACCCCAGACCTCTAAGTTTTAAATCTTGTTCTCTGATACAAATGTATTCCCAGGATCTTTAAAAGCTTTAAACTCCAAAGCTGCCCAGAGAGTTTTCCAGTTTTCTGGAGAAGCAAAATAAAGAACAGATTAGAAGAATAATGCTGAAGTTAGAAGAAAAGGTGAAACATGGCAGAGGAGAGCCACTGGACTTTGCTGTTGTTATTGGTGTTTGTTTGTTTTGTTGTTGTTTGTTTGTTTTGTTGTTGTTTGTTTGGGGTTTTGTTTTCACACATTACATAGGAGCCAATCGTGCATGGTGTGAGTTATGATGTTTCTCTTTATGCAGAAGTTTTGAGGTAAGGAAGAGGAAATGGCCACAAAAGTCAAAGAATTTCAGCAGAACCCATGTCTGCTCTCCACTTCCACATAACCCACTCTCATCTTCTTTGCCAGTGGTTCTGGGCATCTTGCAGCAGAAAGTAAGCGCAGTGGAGGGATATTTTTCTTTGACGAACTGTGACCAGAACACACTTAGCTCACAAGCTCTTGACCAGCATGCAGATGTGGCGAGCTTTCGCCGAGACATAGATTCATTTGACCATCATTTGCTATACGTTAATCTTGGTGATGGAAGGGTGTGGCTAGGCTGCCAGATCCACTTCTCTGCTGAGCAAGTAAAACAAAGCTCTGCTGTCAAACTGCACTCAGATCCCTGGAAGAGAGGAACCCATTGACCCTGGGCCAGATGATTTCATTCTCAAATACATCAGTAGAGGCTTTAAACGCACTCATAGTAGAACTAATATGGTCACCAGCGCCAGATCACCACACTTGGCCATTGATTTCCAGGTTGGTTAACATATTTGAAGACACAGGATATTAACTAATATTTTTAATTCAGTAGAAATATTATCATTACTAAAATAAAACAGCAATAATAAGTTCTACTTCTAATGTAGAAACTGAAGTAAACATATTGACAGGCAACGGGAGTGAGCAGTAATCATTTTCCTGGTCATTAGAATGGGTCGAGTTAGAGGTAGAATAAGTTAGCTGGGTAATAAAGAAGGGATACTGACATCCTAAGCAGGCATTTGATCCTTGGGGTGATAATGCTGGGAGTAAAAAGGTTCCCCACTTCCACTACACAACCTTCCAACTCACTAGCTCCTCTCACTGACTTGTGGTATACAATACAGGAACACAGGATGGAGGAATAATGGCTCAGGTTTTCTACCTGATGCAAACAGCCATCACTTGCTTAAAATCATTCCTGTGGAAGTGTGAACCCTGAACATTTAATAACATGTTCAGAAGTACTGAGGTGTTACCTCAGATTGTGTGACAGATGAGAAGTCTAATGTTGATTTGAGAAACCTTTAAATGATTTTATTTTTATCTAATTGTTCAGATTTCCTTGTGATTTATCAAAGATTTCACTGGGAAGTATCCCCAAAAACAATGAAAACTGTATACAGTATATCAGTTTCTTTCAAAATTATTTTGTTTGGTGTGTGTTTGAAGTATGTTTGTACATATAATCACAGGTGAGCACATTCCCTGGCATGCGTGAGGACACCTCTGGCGCTGGATGTCACCTTTCATCTTGTTTGAGATTTGGTCTCTTTTCCATTTACCACTGTATATACCAAGCTTGCAGGACTATGAGCTTCCTAGCTTGCCATAGGACTGTTAAGATTGCAGATACATGCCATCACACCTGGCTTTCTCTGAGTTCTGAGGATTTCTGAGGATTTCAACTCAACATCTCATGACTATATGGCAAACATTTTACCCACTGAGGGTTTTCCCAGCCCATCAGTTTCCTTTTAAGACTTAATACAAGTAATCCTTTACAACTCTACTATCTCAAGAAGGATTATAGGTAACAAAAAACATATTCTTTGTGGCGTGTTTTCTTTCCTGGTGGAGGAAGAAATGCTAGGGTGATGTGTTATCCCAAAAGACTCGCCGTAGAGATATTCTCCCTTTTCTTTGTCAACTATGCAAACAAAAACCATTCTCAGACTGCGACATCTCTGGAGATGTCAGACCACCACACTGCCAGGATGTTCTGTGAGGATAAAGATCCCCAGTGGACCCTATAGAGGGACTTCAGTCCTATGAGTGTAGCCCTCAGTTTTCTTAGGAAGAACAAGAAGATGCTCCTGTTTGACAGCCGATAGGGAATACAGAGAGAAGGGCTAACTTTCACTCTAACTTTCTTTGTTTCTTCACTTTACAGTCCTTTTCAAACTGTGAGAGTTTCTTGTTTTGAGAGATGTCTGAAACAGGCCGCTGGCCAGAGAGGATGAGTGGACTGTAGTTCACTAATTTATAAGGGATAGATCTTCCTGGAAGGACAGTGGGCATCTCTAGCATGACATCTACAAGATCATAAGCCATGAAGGGAAACAGCCTATCTTGTTCACTCTGCTGGGCTCAGGATAGAACTTGACTTTCACATTTGTTTTTAACACTATGAATGAAGAAAGAACGTAAGTGAAATCTGTAAAATCCCAATGGTAGTTTCTTAACACGGATTATCATCTAGGACCTTGTTTTCCCCTGAGTTTGAAATCTCACAAGAAAATTAGAAGTGAGCCCAAGGGGCGCGCCAGCATTTCATCTCTAGACCACAGCCAGAGTTAGGCCCCAAGCATTGCACACATTGGTTGTGGGGACTTTCCCAACCAAGAGTACTACTTGTCCTCTACTGCAAGGTTACAGGTCTGGGTATACAGACAGATCTTGGAACCAAAACCTCTATAAGTCCTTGCCCTCATATACAACTAGCAGAACTTTGGTTTAACTCTTTTGAATATCACATGCTTGATGGGAATGTCAGCAGAAGTATATGGGCTGAACAGACACTTTTCAGTTCCCATCTTCCCTCCCCCCTTCTTGCTCAATATCCTGAGGACATAATTGAACTTTTCTGTGTGTGTCAGCCTGGCACAGTGAGGAAGGGGCAGCTCATTCAACCATTCCCCTACAGACAAACCTGCCAAGCATCAGAATATGCCACTATTTCTTGGAGTTTGCATGCAGGACAGACACAGCAGCTAAAAATCAAGGGGATTCAAGGCATGGCCCCCAGGAAAACCCACTAAACGAGCCTATCCACCTTCCCTTCTTCTTCTGCAGCTACCAGGTAACAAGTATGTCCAGGTTTCATCTTTCACATCCGTGTGTGGATTTTTACAGCAGGGAATGATGCCATCTCCACATTCTGGCAGGACAGATGGTGCTGGCTGAGTAAGTGAAAGAAAGGCATGTTCTGTTGGAAAACAACAGAGGAGATGGACAGCAGATGCTAAACCACAGCCTTCTCTTAGCCAGAGGGTGAAAAGCAGATAGAAAACACAGCCGGAAATGTGTCTATCCCTAGCTGTGACAGGATGGCTTGTGCCTTGCAAACCTCTAGTCTTGCAACAGAGCCAGAGGCACTACCCTTTGCCTGTAGAGTTGGGCATCAATGACTTGTCCCTTTCTCATTCTTAACAACTGTGGGTTTGTACCTGCTGCTGATCAGAGCAGGAGTGGGGGTGGGGTGTGGAGTGGGGGCGTGGGGAGCTACATTCAGTTTCCTTCAAACTCTAAGATATGACAGAGCATGGGGTTTCTATGAGATTCCCACACTGACAAAGGAAATAGGCCACAGTCAATGATCCTCATTCTCAAAGGAGGCCCTGGCAAACTGGATAGATAATGACTAACAGCTACCAGTTAACCAAGGGAGACACTGGGAATGGATAGTAACTACAGATTTAGGTTATAGGCTTTGGTTCTCTTGTATGTGTGGCTGCTGCTTTTGAAGAATGTATTAGGCTTTTTTTTCCCCTCCCCTTTTTACTAGAATTATAGTGGAGTCATTAAAAGAGAATGGACTTAGACTCTGCCTCCTATCTGCTGTGTAACTCTGAAAGAGCCATATAATGTCACTAAGTTTTCTTTAACAAATGGATGTAATGATTGTACTGGCCTGGTGGGACTGTCTGGGGATAAAGTTACGTATTGAGTACTAATACGTAACTTTAAATTGTTGCCACTTGTCGTATAAAATATATTGGCACAAGGTCAGGTTTGCTCATATAGAAACATAAAAGAGTCTGCCATCCCACAAGCAAAGCCATAAATAGATACAGCTTTTCTCTCCCTGCTAGGAAGAAACTTATTATTGAGGAGACACATAGATAAACACATACATATATAAAATCAGACACACACTTCAGTGAGTATAATGCTCCAAGAAATGAGCAACAAACAGCAGGTGCAAGGGAAACAGACAAAGTTCTTTCCAACACAATCCTATCTTTAAAACTACTCATGGCAACCATTAGCATCCAGGGAACTGTAACCAGCCCCAGGAACACTGAGAAAGCTGGCTGAATATTTCAAAAAAGGGAAGAAAGGCTGGAAGTGCTTCACTTGCTCAGGTTGAAGTCTTTGCTACCTCCTTGTAATTTCCATCTCTTGAACTTCCTAATCCCTTCCGACTTCCTCCTGAGAACTAGAAGACCCTGTTTCCTTCTTGCTCCCTAATCGGATCCAGAGAAAAGGAGTCTTGAAAGTAGGCACTGCCTCACAGAGCTGTTACACTGACATCTAGTGGCCTAAATACTAAGTGCACAAGATGGCCAGGGTGTTCTCAGCAGGTTGGAAGCAATTTTCAGCACGCAGCTTGCATCAGAAGTTACCAAGGCGGGGAAGTCTAGAGATGTGCCTGAGCTGTGCATTTGTCTGAGGTTGTGCTAGGAGCTGTGTCTGAGGCAACATTTCTAAGAATGAGAGAATAAATAAAGTAAACCATGTCTTATTAGAATGTTTGGGCTCTCTAGCTTCTGAGGTTTGGGTGAAGATTGTGATTTCATTTATGTTATACCATGTGTCATCTGTGAGTAGTGGGTAAATGAATGGAATGCCTGTGCCTCGGTTTCTGTATTGATTTAAACAGAGATGTGTTAGGTGATGCCCACAAATCTCCTGGCCCAGCACCCAGCAAAAAAGCAATCCACAAGTTATCGTTATCTCTAAGTTGCTGTCAGTACAACTACCAATACTACAGTGCTGAGAGTGGTATATGAGCAAGGGAGAGACACAGAGTGAGGTTCCATACATCATCAGGACAGATCCCTTCCTTTGCTGCTTTTCTGTAAAACTGTGGAGCATTGAAATGCCCAGTGTTCAAGGCTTTGTTTCTTTCCCAGACACTGTGATTCACACCAATTCATCTGGTTTGGCTGTAAAGCCCAGTTTTACCTCCTTTCTTGTTATGAACGCTTAGGAGTACAGTGATTCTTAATTACTGCACAATTGCTGGCACCAGAAGAGGAGTTGGAATAGCCTTTGCACAAACCACCAAAACAAAGGAAGCATGTGTCCAGACAGAGGTGAGAAGCCGTTAGGAAGCTGTAGAAGCCAAATGATATTTTTGAATCTGAATCTAGTCTGGGGATTCCCTGGTAATGTGGGACACCCCAAACTCACCTTGCTTGTAGAGCTCTGCAAACCAACCTAGTTGCAGAAGCAGGAAACAAGGAAAGCTACGAGGCTGTATAAGCTCAGCATGTACTTTGTGTTATTCTTAACTGTCAACTGGATGGGATTCAGAGTCATCATGCAAACAAGTCTCCGGACATTTCCATAAGGGAATGTCTCACTAGGTTAATTAATGTGGGAGGGCCTAGCCTAAATTAAGATGGGACCATTATGTGGGCTGAGAACCCAGACCACAAAACAATGAGGGAAACTGAGCTGAGCACAAGTGTCCATCATTTTGCTTCTTGATTGTGGATGTAATGTGACCAGATGTCTCGTCTCCTGCTGCCATAACTTCTTAGCCACGGTGGACTATACCTTCAAAAGCTGTAAGCCAAAATAACCTGTTCCTTTTCCCCCACGTTGCTTTTTACTTCTGGCATTTTGTTGCAACAAGAATACAGTAACTGACTCACTGGGATAACAACAGCCTTGCTCAGGCATGCATTCTGTCAACAGGTCAGAACAGCATATGAGCTTGTTTGGGCCAGGTAAATGCCACCAAGCGTCCTCTGCTTATGACTAACCATCAAACACAGCTGGATGCCACCTGGGGAGAAAAGGATAGCAACAAACAGTGACCCTGTAATGTAATCATGAGAAGAACCCTTTCTGCCCTTCTCTCTAACCCTCATCCATAGATGTGTTATGGATGAGGTGTAGAGGTTTCTCATAGAAATCTAGCACACAATGTTTCAGATGAGGGAACGTATTTTGGTTTCTAGTGATTTCTGCTCCAAAGTACCACAGACTGTGGCTTGTAACAACAGAAGGAAGTCTTAAGTGGGGGTGTCAGACAGACCCAGTGCCAATTGTTCTGTCCTTCAAGTTTGTCTCCCAGCAGACCATTCTGGTGTTGGGGTCCTCTTGATCAAGGGCCTTCTGAAAGCAGCTGGTTTCTACATCCTCCATCCTTCTTAAGAGCTGGTGCTCAAGTTCCAGAACAGTTCCCCATGATTTGATGGCTGGCTTTGAACCTCTACCAGTGTCTTCTTCTAGATTTGTGGGATGACACTCCCACATCAACCCAATGCTTCCACAGTGTTTTGAAAGTAAAGGGAAATGAAAGAGAAAAAAGAAAAAAGAAAGAAAAGGAAGAATTCTCAAGGTTGTGCTTCCTACCTTCTAGATGTCCTCAGGTCATAGGACATTGCCCAAAATACCTATATTTGCTGTGTTGGTCATCAGCTTTGGTGATTTAATGTCATCCCTATACAACTTTAATAGTTTTTGACATTGACCTGTTAGCATCTATTATATCACACTTGATTTCATACTCCTCCAAGCACTGATTTTAACTGATCTTACTGAATTTCCGTATGGTTCTAAAACATAGTTAAACAAAATCTGCCATTTTTCCCCTTTTTCATGTGTGTGGTAGGAGAAGAAATAAGAGTGTGTGTATGTGAAGGAGAGAGAGAGAGAGTATGTGAATAGGAGAGAGGAAAGAGAGAGTGTGTGTTATAATTTAAGAAAAGCAGCTTGTGAGAGAAAGATGACATGAGACAGGATTCAAGTAGAGGGGTATTTATTAGGGAAAGAGATTATAAAAGGGGTAAAGATGAGGGGGAGGGAGAAGAGAGAGAGGGGAACAGACAGAGAGAGAGAAAGAAAGAGAGAAAGGGGATGGGAGGTGGGCAGGGCCCTTTTAAAAGGGAATGGAGTGAATGTGCACAGGTGGTGCTCTTAGTGGCTGCAGCTGAGCACTTATCCTGTCAGAACCCTAAGGACAGGCCAGTACAGATGCCTGAACACTAACAGTGTGTATATGTCTCTGTGTGTATCTGTATGGGAGTTTAAGGCTTGTAGAGAATCCCAGATCCACAGGTCTTCAACCTTAGTCATTGAGTCAGTCTCACAGTCAAACCTGGAGCTTAACAGTGGGACTCTCTCGCTTCAATAGCTAGCTTGCTCTGGGGATCCCTATCCCTGCCTTCCAAGGTTGGAATTACAGGCAGCCACCATGGAGGCTTTACATAGGTCCTCAGCTTGAGCCAGCACTTTAACCACTGAGGCATTTGCCCAGCTCCATTGACTTAAACTGTGTAAGTGTACAATTCTGTATCAGGTACATTCACATTGTGGTGCAGCCCTCACCATCCCTCTAGGAACATTTCATCTTTCCCATTGGAAACGGGGCATCCATTAAGCCCTAACTCCCCATTCCTTTCCTCCCTAGCCACTGGCAACACCCTGCCTGTATGATTTTGACTGTGCTGGGTACCTCAAGTAAATGGAACTGTGGGATGTTAGTTCCCGAGTGACCTGTTAGGTTCACTTAGCAAGTGTCTTCAAAGATTATGTGATAGCATATGCCAGAATTTTCCTCCTCTTGTATATGAAATTTTTCACTTAATGATGTGATTATTCTTCCCAATAATAGAATTAGAAATAGCACACCAGAATACATACATTTTTGCTAAATATGGGAGTAAATGGAGATGATTCATGTCCTGAGATAAAGAACAGGTAATAAACTAGGGAGTGGCAAAGTGAGATACACTAGATTCAGTGCATACACGGTGGATGTCTAGAACTCTCAAATAGGATGATGAACGAATGAATTAGTGAGCGAATGAATGAGAACCCTGAGCAGATGAAGTCATGAAGCCC